CAGATATCAGTTCAGTTTCAGTTCAGTTATATATGCTTAGTTCATGATATTGTTATTATTTACGATGTTTACATTAGTATGAGTTTCTGCGGAGCACAAGTGTTTTAGTGCACACGCCCCCACGCATTTAATGTTTTTCAGGTCGCAGGGTCGGAGACGAGGAGTGAGCGGGCGGGCTGTTCAGGACATTTGTGATTATATGTATATATGTTTTTGCCACGCTTGGTTTCCGCTAAAACTTTCAGTACTTATATTCAGTTTTTGTTCCGACCTTAATCGGATAAGACAATAAACCGTTTTTATTTATCAGTTTAAAATTTTAACGGTTTTCAGAAAAATCAAGTTTTTCACGGTAGCATCCCGAATCAGTTTTCGCAAAATAAGTATTTTATTCAGAAAATTGCGAAAAATCGCGTACTCTGATATAGTAAAACGTCGAGATGTTACAATTGGTATCAGAGCACGTTTCTGCATCTCTGAAAAGTTTTTCAGTCAAAAATTTTCAGAAAAACCTGAACCGTCACGCTCACGCCTCGCCGACTCCAGGTAAGTGCTGATTCAGTTTTCAGTTATAAACATATTACTTTGTTTATGCTCAGAAATCAGCAAATCAGATTTAGTTAAGATGCTCAAATCAGATTCAGACTTTAGAGTTCCGATATAACTCTAGAATTCAGTAGATTCAGACCTGACTTTAGAGATCAGTACACTCTGACATGACTCTAGAATTTAGTATCTTTCGATATGACTCTAGAGTTCCTCAGGTTTCACGTCAGTAATTATCGTCCATTTTTGGAAACTCGTCAAGAGATTTGTGTGCCTAAGTAATCAGTCAGAATATCATCACGTGTTCAATAATTTTGAACTTTCTCAATGTTCAGATGTCGCCACGTAGGGAACCCGATCATCCGGCTCCTACTCAGGCTACAGTGGTCGCCCAGTTCCGCGACTATCATGCCGAAAAGTTCTCAGGGCAGGGAGATCCTCGCATAGTAGACGAGTGGAGTCAGGGCCTGGAGTTTATCTTCGAGGTCATGGAGTGCCGTGAGAGATATCGCGTCATTTGCGCTCAGCTTCAGCTCACCGGTGATGCCAGGCTCTGGTGGAACGCTTACTGGAGCATGCGTCCCGGTGAGAAGGCGGGATGTACGTGGGAGATGCTCAAGGAGTTAATCCGCGAGAAGTACTATCCCACATACTACCGAGCAGAGATGGAGCGTCAGTTTCTATCGCTCCAGCAGGGTACTCGTACTGTTGACGAGTACGAGAGGGAATTCACGAGACTTGCAGCTTTCGTTCCTGATTTGGTCCGCACGGAGGCCCAGCGAGCACAGCGTTTCATTGACGGGCTTTACCCAGCAGTCCGTCATAACATCGTAGGCCACGGGACATAGACGTACGCACGTGCAGTCTCCATTGCCCAGGAGGTGGATGCCAGCATTAGGAGGGAGGCCGTCCGTGATCAGTTCCAGCCATCCGCCCCTGCTCAGTCATCTTCAGTTCCACCGATGCCAGCTCTACCACCTGCTCAGACACCGAAGAATAACAAGAGGAAGGGGAAAGGTGCCCCGGCAGATAAGAGGACCCGACGGAGGCTACAGCAGATCCCTCAGTGCCCGACATGCGGATGACTTCACCGAGGCGAGTGTCGCTTTGGTCAGGATGTATGCTACTACTGTCACGAGCCCGGACACTTCGCGAACCGTTGTCCGAAGAAGGCGCAGCAGCCTCAGCAGCCACCGCAGCAGCAGCAGCCCCGTCAGCAGGCTCAGAGGCAACCTCAGCCGCAGCAGCAGAGGGGCAGATAGCAGGCCCGAATTTACGCAGTCGATCAGGCAGAGGCCGAACAGCAGCCAGCTACCATGTCAGGGATGGTTGTTCTTAATAATGTTCCTGTGTTTGCTTTATTCGATACTGGAGCAACACATTCTTTCATTTCACGACGATGTCTTGAAGCCATCGGAGTTCGCGCTACTACCGCTATCGATCCTCTTGAGGTGAGTTTGGCCTCGGGACGAAAGATAGTGACTTCAGCTAAAGCTTCAGATCTTAGCCTTTCCATCGGTGGCCAAGTTTTGTCTACCGACGCGTTTGTTCTCGAGATGAGGGACTTCGACCTTATTCTCGGAATGAATTGGCTATCCTTTTATCATGCGGATATCAGGTGCCACGACCGGGAGATTACCTTGTATCTTCCGGGAGACGAGTTGATCACTTTCTTCGGCTCCAGGAATCGTTCTTTGCCTCATGTAGTTTCGATGGCGAAAGCCACTAAGTTGCTGCGACGAGGCAACTGCCAGGGTTATCTGGTGAACCTTGTCGACGATTCTTAGAAAGCACGTTCACCTCACGATGTACCAGTCGTTCGAGAGTTTGTGGACGTATTTTCAGACGAGCTTCCAGGAGGACCGCCTAACCGGCAGGTGGAGTTCTCTATCGATCTCATTCCAGGGATCGGTCCAGTATCCAAAACCCCATACCGTATGGCGCCTAAGGAATTGCAAGAGCTTAAGACTCAGATTCAGGAGCTGATACGACACGGTTTCATCCGACCGAGCGTGTCACCTTGGGGAGCACCCGTTCTCTTTGTAAAGAAGAAGGACGGATCCATGCGCATGTGTATCGACTACCGGGATCTTAACCGGTTGACGATCAAGAACAAGTATCCGCTTCCCAGGATCGATGATTTATTTGATCAGTTGAGGGGATCCTGTGTGTTCTCAAAGATTGATTTACGATCAGGCTACCACCAGCTGAAGATTAAGGAGTCAGATATCACTAAGACCGCTTTCAGGACTCGTTACGACCATTACGAGTTCGTTGTCATGCCATTCGGTCTTAGCAATGTGCCAGCAGTTTTGATGGACCTCATGAATTGTATTTTCCATCCCTACCTCGATCAATTCGTTATTGTCTTTATTGACGATATTCTTATCTACTCGAAGAGCCAGAAGGAACACGAGGAGCATCTGGGGGTGGTTCTCGAAACCCTCAGACGAGAAAAGTTGTTTGCAAAATTCTCCAAATGCGAATTCTGGCTCCAGCGAGTATCCTTTTTGGGTCATGTGATTACTCGGGCAAGTATCGAGGTGGATCCTTCCAAGGTCTCAGCTGTTCAGAACTGGTCGACACCGAGGAGTCCCTCCGAGGTTCGCAGTTTTCTCGGTCTAGCTGGTTATTATTGCAGGTTTATCGAGGGCTTTTCCAAGATCGCCCTCCCTCTATCCCAGCTGACGAGGAAGTCTGTGAAGTTCGAGTGGACTGATCGTTGTGAGTCGAGCTTTCAGGAGCTCAAGAGGAGATTAACTTCAGCACCGGTGTTGACTATTCCCGATCCTTCTCGGAGTTTCACCATCTTCAGCGATGCTTCGAGACAGGGCTTGGGATGTGTCCTTATGCAGGACGGCCAGGTCGTCGCGTATGCTTCACGTCAGCTTAAGCTGCATGAGCAGAACTATCCGACGCATGACTTGGAATTAGCAGCAGTTGTTCATGCTCTCAAGATTTGGCGACACTATCTTTACGGCGGTCATTATGAGATTTTCACAGATCATAAGAGCTTGCAGTATATCTTTACTCAGAAGGAGCTCAACATGAGACAGCGTCGTTGGTTAGAACTCGTCAAGGATTACGACTGCTCTATTCAGTATCATCCGGGGAAGGCGAACGTCGTTGCTGACGCCCTAAGCCGAAAGGTGAGGGGTGACTTGATGTACGTCATTACTCAGCAGAGTCCGTTGATTCAGGAGTTTGCCCGGATGCAGCTTCAGGCGATTGATACACTTCCCATAACAGTTTCGGGGAGTACCAGTGCCAGTGTCAGTGCAATGCAGCTTCAGCCGACGCTGAGAGAGAGAATCCAGCGAGAGCAGGCTTCTGACGAGTTTGTTCGTGTCATGGAGGCCAAGGTTCGTGCCGGAGGCGTCGAGGGTTTTCAGCTAGGTGCCGATGGTGCCCTGGAGTTCAGAGGCAGGATCGTGGTCCCGAAAGTCGAGGCGTTGCGGAAAGAGATTTTATCAGAGGCTCATACCGCATCCTATTTAGCCCATCCCAGGAGCACGAAGATGTATCATGACCTGAAGGGGTCGTTCTGGTGGCGAGGCATGAAGAAGGACGTCGCCGAGTTTGTCAGGAGGTGTTTTACCTGTCACTGTCGATTCCGAGGTGCAAGTCAAAGCCGAACATCAGAGTCCGATTGGCCTCCTACAGTCACTGTCGATTCTGAGGTGGAAGTGGGAGGAAGTCACGATGGATTTCGTTACGGGATTGCCGAGGTCGTCTGAACATCACGACGCTATCTGGGTCGTGGTCGACAGATTGACTAAGGTCGCGCATTTCTTACCCGTTTCAATGAAGATGTCTCTGGACAAGTTGGCTGAGATATATACCCGTGGGATCATCCGACTCGACGGAGTGCCCGTCACTATTGTATCAGACAGAGATCCCAGATTCGTCAGTTGATTCTGGCACAGCTTACATGAGGCGATGGGCACGAAGCTAGAGTTCAGTTCAGCCTACCATCCGGACACAGATGGTCAGTCAGAGCGTACTATTCAGACGCTTGAGGATATGCTTCGCGCTTTGGTTGTTGACAGGGGTGCTAAGTGGGAGTCATTGTTGCCGTACGCCGAGTTTGCGTATAACAATAGCTATCATTCTTCCATTCAGATGGCTCCTTACGAGGCACTTTACGGTCGCAAGTGT